AGAAAAGAAGGAAAAGGAAATTCAGATTCGAATATCGAATTTGAATAACTTGAATAATTTTAATTTCAAATTAATTCAACAATAATTTTAGTAGATTTAGTTTTTAAAAGTTCGCGAAGCTTTTTTTTTTTTTTTTTTTTTTTTTTTAAAATATCGTATTACAGTTACAAATCGTTTCACTGTTAAGAATATTTGTGAAGTGATGTTCGGTCAACTCATTTCTCAATTTCATGGATATTCGTAATCCTGACATATGGGATTACCATCTACAATTTTACAGGATTTACCATCCGACTGTAGATTTATTTTCCCAGAGGAAGGGAGAGATATTTCTCATGTTAAAGGATACATTTTTATTATATTGCACGAAATTACGTTAAAAACTGAGAGAAATGGAGATATTAGGACGACAAATTAAAGACACGCGGTCGTTAAAACGGGATAACTGGGTCGAAAATAAAGGGAAAAAGCGGCTGAAAGCAAAGATGAAAAGAAATACGGCAGAGATAAGATGAAGGGAGGAAAGGGGGCCACGGTTGAGGAAGAAAAAGAGGGTGGTAGAATTAAAGAAAAGAGGGAATCAAGGACGCGAGAGTTGGACTCCAGTTTGGCGTTTGGCCCATGGCCATTGGGGAAGAAGGTTCATTTGTCTTTCGCGAAATGTACTCCATGTTTCGTCTTGATTCAAGATAACAGGCTCTGGCTCTTTTCCATTGTGGAACAATACTTTCGAAAATACTTAGGAAGCGTAATAATAACTGACCTCCAAAATAAACTACTTTCACTTGGTATTTATTCCTCTTCTCTTAAATTAAAGAGAGAGAGAGAGAGAGAGACTTTTTTTCCTTATTCTTATCTTTGTTTACGAGTTGACGATTAAACAAAACAGTGGAAAATTACGACTTGTAAAAATTAGATAATTTAAATTAGATAGTTTAAATTAGATAGAAGTTTAAATGAAAATAACCATGGTTTTCCATTGGATAATAAATTTTAACGAGAGTGTTAAATTTAAATATTAATAACAATAATAATAATAATAATCGAAACAAATTTGATTTTTTTCTTTTATTCATTTACTTCTGCTTTATAATTTGCGTGATTATTCGCAACAATCGTGAAATTTCGTTCAAAAATTCAACAGACAAGCTTGATCACAAGATTGCTTTGTATACATTGGTGGATAGTACTAGAAAAATATGGCAAATTTGAGTAAAATTGTTTTCAAATTTTTCATGAGTCAAACTAATGAAAAATAAAACTAGCAAATAAAATCTAATATAAATGAGAAAGGATATTTGCAAGGTTTAAAAAGAACGATTTCCAAACGTCCAATGGATGTATTCGTTTCGTTGATGGAAAAGTGGGGGTTAAAAATTCGAAAGAGGCATCGAAGGGTTACGTTACGATATTTACCAGTATCGGGACAGGGACAAAGAAGGGAATAATTTATACGTTGATGCGACTTGAATAATACAAGACGGAAGTGGGCACAATAATGAAAACCGCTTTGTTTTCTGTTCTTCGGCCCTCATGAAACATTGAAACGCTTCGAAAAGACAAAAGACAAAAGTCTCTCGCGAGACGACGATTTCTCCTCTTTCGATTGACGAATGGCACTCTTCTTTTAGAACAAGTACGAGAAAAAAAAAAATGAGAGAATATTGGAATAAAATACTAATCGAAAAGAAAGGATACATTTTTTTTTTAAAAATGATTTTTCGAAAAATTCGATTATAATATATAATTTCGATTTTTTTAAAGAAATCAAAGAGTGATAAACTTTTATTATTATTATTATATAGTATAATAATAATTGAAAAAATGTTCGATCTTGATTTACGAAAATATTCGAAATATTGTATACGCGGATTGAAAAATGTTTTAACAAATTTACAATCGTTTTCGATTATTTAGTGTGTGTTCTATTCGAATACTGGGTAACAATTCATTAACGGGATAAACAAATGGACTTTATAAAAGTCATCAAGCAGGAGGAAGGATGAAGTATTGTAAAGTTTGAATAGAAAGTTGGATGTTTCTGGTAGTGAAATGAACTGGAAATGAGAAGAATGGAATGGGTTGCTCGGTGAAACGTAAAGATTAATTCGCACAATTAAATGCGCCACGCCTGTTGATTTTTGCAACCTCTCCCCTCCCACCCGCTCGTCATTCGTCCCCATTTTCGAATGGAAATTCGAAACCTGTTAAAGGGCAGATGTCGCGCGATAAATACGAGCAATAAAACGACACCGCTTGACTGGGATATGATTAATTATGACGAATCACCTTGCCTGCCGGCGGTTTTCATAAACCTCTATGAGCGTTGCTCGTACATATGTATATATATATATATATATATTCGGGCGAAATTCTCGCTTCGTGAAACCATCCAGACGAAACTTCATAAAACTGATAATAGCTTTCCAATCAATTTTTCATGCAATACCAATTGAAGTTCGAAATTTACTTCCACGTCCAATTCGAATCATCGTAAAATGGTTCGATCGATTTCCCCACCAATTTCGAAAACCTTTCATAACGATGTCGAGTTCTGCAATTCCTGGCAAAATTGGCAAAAAGTATTACATTATATTTTTAAAATACAATAAATTTTTTAAAATTGGGTCAAACGAATTTTCAATTTTTCTTTCTTTCTTTCTTTCTTTTTTTTTTTTAAGGGGAAAAGTTGAAAGGATTAGGTTTATCGATGATGTGGAAAGACAAAAAAAGAGTGTTTTCTAAAATACGAAGAACGCGCCAAGATGTACAAGATGGCGCGTTGAAATGGAAAATTAATGGATTAAATATCTTCGTTACTTTTTATATTTTTATGAGCTTTATTAAACGAAAGTCTGTGATAAAAGGGACTATAATATGATGACGATGTTTCTTCTTCTGTAAAGAGAGCACGAATAATGAATATATCACTTTACATGTTCCTTCATACATTAAACAAGCTTTACTAATTTGAACTTGAAAAATCTTCTAAACTAATAATTTTATATATAGTTAATATAAAGTTGAATCAACTAATGAATAAAGAAATATATGATTATATTTAAGAAAATGGAGATAACTTTAAAATTTTCTGCAAAAAACTTTCGTTAATAAAGAACTGAAGATATTTAAATATTTCCTGTTTGAAAATTTCATCGAAATCGATCATCGACGAGGAAACAAACTACAAATGGAAAGATATATATAAAAAACATATATAAATATAAATTTTAAAGAATCGAATACTTTCTGCCAAGGGTTATATCCTAAGCTATACCAGTTATTTTTCTCATTTTTCCCCACCAACTTTTTTTCCCCTCCACTCAGTTTTATTTCCGTTGCTTTCTTTCGCCCTCGAGTGCGACAGCTTTTCGAGCTTATCTACGTGCCACTCATTTGCTCGAGTTTCTCTCTGGAAACTTCACAGGTACCTCCAGGTTGCCAAGATCGTTACTGTTTTATCCGTCGTTCTCTCTAAAAAAAAAAGAAAAAAAATTTTCCACTTTTCCCTTTTTCCATGCACGTCTAGTGATCCTACTGGTCGCTTTGCTGCAACCACCACGTGCCTCCTCTTTTTATCCTTTTTTCTATTGGATGCGATCGCTAGGATGGAATGAAAAAAAGAAGAAGAAGAAGAAGTAGAAGAAGAAGAAGAAGAAGAAGAAGAAAAAGAGAAGCAAAAGTGTGCGAATATTTTCTAACCAATTTTTTATCCAATCTTTCGTATAACGAGAGGAAAATTTATTTTCTGCCTATAAATTTTTCAGAATTGTGATTTTTTTTTTTTTTAATCTTTCCAAAGCTGGATTTTGAGGTTTTTTTTTTTTTTAAATTTTATGTACTGTTATTTGGTGTTATTTGAAAAGTATAAAATAATAGTACGTGTGTGTATCATAAAATGATTAAGGAAAATTAATTTGACACTTGGAAAAAAAAACTTGGATTTTTAATAGCTTGAATAAGAGATTATTTATAAGAGACAAATTTGTGAATCCTTTTGCCTTTACCAATTCTCTATCGAGCATTATTATTATTATTTTTAAAGGATAAAATTTATAAAATGGCAGAATATACGCATTCGATGGAAATTCCGTGACGTAATGTCAGAGAAATTTTATCATTTTCAAAAGAAAACATGTTTTCTTCGCTCAATCAACCAAAGGAATTTCCCTCGTCACGAAGGGATTCGATTCGAACTCCGCTCCTCCTTTGGCTCAGAAAATGTAAACATATTTACACGAGAGATTCTTTTTTTATTCCTCTCAATCCGATGTTTGGATCATTTTCAACCCGGTTTACTTGGCAATCACCGATAACTCAATGCTACTTAGAAGATTAAGATAATTTCTATCCTCATGGGGGTCGCTTTTGATCCAATCAAAATCCACGCAGCTCGTACCCCTCGTTTAATTAAAGAAAAAAAAAAAAAAGAACAAATTTTAATCACAAATCATCCGAGATATTAAAGAAAGACAGAAACACGAATTAATTATATCGCGAAAGGAGAATTATAAATAATATCGTTTGAAAGAACAATAATATTTTCATGTACAATCTTGCACATTTTTAATCTTCTCCGAGCTGCACACGATCAATAACATTAAATACTAATATAATAATATTATTGATCGTTTAACGAGATCGTTTAAGGCCCAAACACCTTTGTCTCGTTCACGTTTTCGATATCCATCTTCCGCGACGAACAAAGGTAATCAGAGAACGAAAGAAAGAAGAAAAAAAAAAAAAAGAGCAACACGACTGCACTCACTCTGATTATATTATACAATTTTACTTTTTTCCTCGATTTCGCTCGAAACGAAGAGAAGAAATTTACGATTTCATCGATTCTCAGATCGGACACGAAAACGATCGATAAAATGTTTCCAAGTTCCGCGTGATTAACGACAAACACGTGGAAACTAATGTTCGAGCTTAATTTTAAAGGGTTTGGGGAACGAGTGTTGAACCCTTAATCACAGGATCGATAATATCCTCGAACGAGTTGGGCGATCGCTGCGCTACGTTGGCTCTGTTTGGCATTTCCATTTTCGCTCTCTTCACTTGTTGGAGGAAGGTAGAACAGCTTGGAGGAATCTCGACGAAGACTAGCAGTCGTCTTGGGTGGAGGAGGAGTGTAAAAGGGCGGCCACGCGCTCAGAAAAGTCTCCAGACGCTGCTCCGGTGCACTGAAACAGAGAGTTGAAAAAATCGTCGCGTGGATGAGTATGTAAATATAACGAGAGAAAAAAATATTATTGGTAAATTTAAGATATGGGTTGATGATTGGGGATGATGAAAAGTATATTTTAATATGATAAAATGTAGTATGTTATATTAAAAAGTTTTATATTAAAATGTATATATATATATATATATATATATATTATATAAGTATTGTTAGCTAGACAGAGATTCTATCTATTCTACCCTCGTCAAGCTTCATTTAATGCAAATTTAAATTGTTTGTAACTTAATAAATAAGTCTCGAGCGATATTTTGATATATTACATATTATATTATAATATGGAATATTATGTATATCCTATGAATTTGACAGGAACAAGAACAGTTTCATATAACTTTAATAGAATCGTGTAATACAAGCTGAGAGATTACTAGTTTTAATTTCTCATTCGAATAAGTCAAAATTCTCAAAAAGTTATTATGATTTTGCATTCTTTAATTTTTTGTTTTTTTTATCTAACAACAACTCTTTAATTCATTTACAAAAAGAGAGTCTCAATAAAATATTGTGCAAAGTATTACAAAGTATTTGAAAAAAAAACATTTTAAATTATTTTAGAAATTGCGTTGTCTAGCTCGACATTGGTACAAGAAATGTGATGTCGAGCCTAAGGTTAATAAGAAAAATATTTAGAAATAAAAGAATTATTGATATGTCATATAAATACATATATTGCATAAATGTAAATTACTTAATATGTTTTATAATACATATATTAATTAAATATGTATTTATATACCTATTTTAAAAGATTAATAAATTTAGATAGAATAATGTAACAGATGAAGAGAATCTATGGAATATCGAAACAAACAGAGAGAGAAATGAAAAATGAAAACTAGCTCGACATTGGAGTTGGTGTAAGAAATATAATGTCTAGCCACACTCGACATAAAAATCCCTAAAGGCTTAATACCTTAGCCTATTTTTATTTAGCGTTTTATATTACAAAAGAGCACATAAAACTCTCGATAAAAGAAATAATGCTTGTCTTTTCGTACTTCGCCACATTTTACCCTCCCCTATTTGAAAAAAAAAAAAAATAGACTTATCTTTAGAAAGCCAACTTGGCGAAACTTCATCTTAAAAATTTCAATCTTACCTCGCCGTTCACGCGAAACGACGAGGTTTCCTCAGGAATCCGAATAATTAATTTCCCTTCCCCCATCTTACACCCAACCCCCTTGATTCGCGAGTAAAAAGTATCCATCTCGCGATCTCGAGAAACTTTTCAGCACGGCGACGTTTCGATTCCCTTCCGGATGAAGAAAGTTGAACGAATCTCCCCGAGGAGGAGAGATTCGAGAGAATGGCGGAGACACCGCCGGATCTCCGCCGGATCTATCGAATCTTCTTTATCATCGCGTTGCCACACGAGATATTGTTTAAACGATCCATCGATTCGGGGGAGGGGAGGGGGAATCCGCGACACCGTGAAACACCGGTGGGGTGGAAAAGGCTTGGGAAGCAATGAGAACTTGAAAAGTTGGCGTTTTCTTTTTTTTTTTTTTTTTTTTTTTTCATTTTCGGCTCGGCATCGCTGAAAGCGCAGACGATGCTGATTTCCCAGCGGGTATCGTCCATCTATAAATCTATACCCGGAGGTTGTTTAGCCGGGGCACCCTTTCTCTGTGTGCGTGCGTGTGTGTGTATCCACCGACTGAGTGTATTTTTCATTCTATCCTCTTTTCCACTCGTCTCGCAACCCCTCCCACATCCGAAAGGAAACTTTTATCTCGCGAAACTTTATTTCTTCCGGCCTCTCGATCGGCTTCTCGAGGAACCGAGAAAACAAAGATTATGCCCCCGACGAGGGTTGCAGCCCATCGGTGTTGATTCCTCGTGGATCTGCTTGCCTCCCGGATCGATAAATCGTATCGATGCCTCTAATTGTTTTCGAATTTTTAATTTCGAAAATTATCGAATATTCTTATTCAAATTGTTGTATCTTTCTTTCATTGTTGTTATTATAGTTATAAAAGATTTGTAGGATAATTTGTGTTTGTGCGTGAGTGTGTGTATGTGTGTGTGTTAATGAAAGTTAGAAATAAAAATTGCAGTATACGATTTTATATGAATTTTTTATATGAATTTAATCCTGTTTATATGAATTTAATCCTGGCCTCAGAAATTTTAGAAAAGCTTTTAAGAAAGCTTGAATAGTTTGAATAGAAGCAGTAAGAAATAGTTGAATGGAAATTGAATAACATAAGGAGTTGTTAATTTAGTAGATATTTCAATTTGAATTTCGTTGCAATTGTGAGTTAAAAGAGATAATTATACGTGAAAAACAATTTGATCTATAAAACAATTAAGAAAAATCGTTTAGTTTATTTTTAATAGGTTAAATATTATTATTATAGATGACACACGATCGAAATCGATATCTCAACTACTTTTTAACGAAACGAGAAAAATAAATTCATCAGAAATTTCGAGGCGTATAGCGATAACAATATACCATTAGAAAAAGCTATTCCATTTTCAATTACGTAATTCCACGGTAGAGCGCTTTTCAATACAAAAATATTGCCCTAAACGAGGCATAAGAGCGAAGCGTAAGTGGCTCGAGTTAAAATTATTAATCTTTTCAATTAACTCTTATTCTCGTTTTCGCGAGATTTTCGAAAATATGGCGGCCACACCAGGTATTTGGCTGGCGGAGGTAATGCACCGTGTAATTGAAATCGTGAACAATGAATGTCCAGAGCTAATCGACGATTGAAAAATGACGAGTCGCGGTCCATTTAATCGAAGTCGAGCCACAATTGGCGCCCTCTGCCCAACGGTCGAACAAAGAGATCTCGCTCACGAGAATGAAACGCGGTTGTTCCAAAATACAAGAAACAAGTATATTTACTCGGTTCTCTTTCGTTCTCTCCATTCATATCTCAATGATAATAATATCCAGTGCAAATATCGATTCATCCAGAGAGAGGAGTGAAATTTTCTTGCGTTTAACGTAAATTTAACGAACTCGATCGAAAATTTTTCGATACATGTATTTTCGTAAGACACGGATACACTTACATTTAAAAAAATAAATCGACTTTTCTTTTTAGAATTCTAGAATCAAAAGTTTGTTATTTAAACGAATTCTGTATCATATTGGTAATTTTATTGATTAAAATAAGAACTTGGTCCTCTCGTGAATTCGACAGAGGAGACGATAAAGCTTCTGATTTCGTTAAATAAATAACAACGAATATTTCGCGTTCTTTTGTTAAGAATACGGGATTCTACAAAAAGAAGAGAGTTTTCAGAGGAAAACGAAAAATCTAACAGCGAGGAGGGAAAAAAGTGGCACTAAAAAAGGGACGCGAAACAGATATAGAGAGGTGGTGCAGAAGTTTGGACTGAACTTTCAGCTTTTTAAGCTCTTTGCTTCGACTCGACGACTTGGCGCGTCCCGTTCAGGGTTACCATGGATATGGAACTATTCAAGACCCTGGGGATATTTATTTAAGTGTTGGCATTGACGACAATTTTCTTGAGAGAATCGTTTTCCAAACGGTTTTTCCTCGTTTTCAAATCTTGCCCTTTGAATCGCTTCAAACTTTTATCAAACCCTTCTGATTCGACTTTTTTGTTTTCATTTTTTTGTGCCAATTGTTGCGCGCAAGTTTTTAAGAGGAGAATTGTATGAATACATTATCTGAATGTATATATGATATTTTCAAAATGATTTCATTAACTGAACATTCTGTTCACTATCTTTGTTATAGTTTTGGATAAATTTGGATGAAACAGTTTTTGCATAGATGAGTTGGTACTTTGCATTTTTTAAAAGTAAATTAACAAATAATAAAATTAAAACTATATAAATTATCTGAATATATATATGATATTTTTAAAATGATTTCATTAACTGAACATTCTGTTCACTTTATTCTGTTCACTTTATTTCTGTTATAGTTTTTTAAATTTGGATAAAACAGTTTTTGCATTAATACTTTGCATTTTTTAAAAGTGAATTAACAAATAATAGAATTAGAACTGTATAAATATATTATTTGAATATATATATGATATTTTTAAAATGATTTCATTAACTGAACATTCTGTTCACTATTTCTGTTATAGTTTTTTAAATTTGGATAAAACAGTTCTTGCATTAGTACTTTACATTTTTTAAAAGTGAATTAACAAATAATAGAATTAGAACTGTATAAATATATTATTTGAATATATATATATATGATATTTTTAAAATTTCATTAACTGAACATTCTGTTCACTATCTTTGTTATAGTTTTTTAAATTTGGATAAAACAATTCTTACATAGATGAGTTGGTACTTTGCATTTTTTAAAAGTAAATTAACAAATAATAGAATTAGAATCAAAAGAAAAATAAATAACAGAAATTATCATATTATTCCTTATTAACAGTTTTTCTTTTCAGTTTCTCTATTATAACGATTCTACATAGGATTTACGTTTTAAATAGATTTAATCAACGAAAAAGATGATGTGTATTTCGTTCAATAATTTCTTGAATATAATAATATTGCATCTTCTTAAAAATCAAGAAAATAAATAAGTAATATAACTGAGATAGGATATGTGATAAATTTTGTTATAAGTTTACGTGAAATTAATTTATTACTATTGAAAATTATTCGAAATAAATAACAGAACTTTTTTCGAAATATTCCAATTTCAAAAAAAAAAAAATACAATAATGATTCCAAATTTTTTGATAAAATAAAATAGAGATTAAATAAGATTTTTAAAATAGAGATTCAATAAGATTTCGAACAAACTGACAAACTGACAATTAAAACCAAAACCTCACTCAAAACCTTACGAACGAATATGAAATTCCATTACGAGAATCGTACAATTAAAAACTCGCGTTCTATTTTTATAATTCCACTTTTGAACATGCGATATAACGGTGGAGCAAGGTGGATAAATTGCGTAATTTTTGCGGAGGATT